ATTACGAAAACGCTGGCAGCAAACCAGATCTCCAGAAATTAAATCGAAACTGAACTTAGCAACTAAACAGCTACACACAACTATCAAGACATTTAAAAACGACGCATTTAATCGGTTCCTGATTGGTCTCACGGCTGATAAAAGCACGGAATACTCCTTGTGGAAGGCGGCTAAAAATTTCAATAGACCAATGCAACACATTGCTCGCGTTAAAATCAATGAAAGGCAGTGGGCCAAAACATGTGAGCAAAAAGCGACACTGTTTGCTGAGCATCTTGAAAAGACCTTTAGCCCTAATGATGGCTTGAATGAAATAGAAGCAACTGGATGCTGGTCTGAATGCGATATCCATTTTAGTCCATTTACACCGGAAGAAGTTGGCATACAGATTAACAAAATGAAATTAAAAAAGGCTCCTGGATTTGACTTAATAACGGCTGAAGTTCTTCGCAAATTACCAACAAAATGCATAGTTTATTTGACCAGCTTGCTAAATAAGTGCTTTAGCTTGAAGCATGTACCTATATATTGGAAATTCGCGCAAGTTACTATGGTACCCAAGCCTGGCAAACCACCCAACGAAGTGTCCTCATATAGGCCTATATCCCTACTACCAGCAATGTCGAAGCTATTCGAAAAGCTGCTTTTAGCTCGGCTAATGCCAATTATTGAGAACAAGAAATTGATTCCCGTTCACCAATTCGGTTTCAGGAAAAATCACTCAACGATTGACCAAATACACAGAGTTGTAAGCACTATTGAAAAGGCTATGGACGAGAAGAAAGTGTGTTCCGCAGTTTTCCTTGATGTATCGCAAGCATTCGATAAGGTTTGGCACGTAGGGCTACTTCAAAAGCTTAAGTCCATGCTACCAATACATTACTGCAAGATGCTTTCGTCATATCTCAATGACAGGTACTTTTGCGTAAAATACGAAAATGCCTTTTCATCTCTAAAGAAGATAAGCGCTGGCGTACCACAGGGGAGCATCTTGGGACCTCTACTATATCTCCTGTACACATGCGACCTACCATCGGCCAATCAGTATGTAACCGCAAAATTTGCAGATGATACTGCGCTACTTGCAGTCGATAACACTATCGAAAATGCTACGACCAAGCTACAAGAAGCTGTTAACCAAGTTACCTCGTGGGCTAAGAAATGGAGGATTAACCTAAATAAAAGCAAATCAGCGCACATAGTGTTCTCTTTAAAAAAAACATCACATAAACCAATTTTTATTGACGGGTCAATAATCCCATACTTCGACGAAGCCAAATACCTGGGTATTACACTCGACGCCAAATTGCGCTGGAAAGCTCACGTCAAGAAAAAACGAGATGAGCTTGATCTGAAATTTAACAAACTATATTACCTCATTGGTAGGCGCTCAAGGTTGACAATTCACAACAAAATTCTCGTATACAAACAAATTCTAAGGCCAGTCTGGACTTACGGCATACAATTCTGGGGATGTGCTAGTGTGAACTGCATTACTTCCATCCAACGTCTGCAAAATAAAGTGCTTCGAGGCATAGTAAATGCGCCATTCTACGTAAGAAACAGCGATCTACATCGTGATCTTGGCATGCCAACTGTCACTGAAATGACGAAACAATTCGCCATAGCTCACAAACAGCGATTAGTAGGTCACGTCAACGTAGCAGCGTCCAGCTTACTTCGGCTGAATCCTACGCAAAGACGGCTAAAGCGCACAACAGTAGCAGACCTTATGCAAAGCGAGTAGCAGAAATTTATTTTTACTTATATGTCTTTTGAGCATGTATTTAAAATATAAAATGCATTTTCTTGTAAACTAAAATTATTAAATTAAAATTGCTTGTTAGTATCATTATTTATATACTAGTTGCAATAATAAGACGTTTCTGTAAATTGTCTAAGATTCGTTAACAATAATAAAAAAAAAAAAAAAAAAAAAATTTTGCTACGTTAGAGTCGTTGCCGAAAAACTTATGGATACATATACATATACACAAAAATTGCTCGTTTAAGGTAATTAGAATAAGGGGCAAAATTCCCTTTTAGTCGATGTTGCTTTCTATAGAAAATCTTTTTTAAATGGATAACTAGCTCTTTATGAGCATTTGCTATTACTGCCCACGACATATACATATATATTTCCGCAAGTCGTTATCATAGTAAAAAAAAAATAAGAATATAAGAAGGTGGCTCTGATCCGTTTGCTAAAGCTTTTCAAGAAATTGCAGGTTGGCGTTTGTTCCAGAATAAACTACACTTTCTTAAAAATTTACATTCAAAAATCCGGCTCAGCTGGCACAAAAAAGGTTTTGGTAGCCTGCATTCTCATTTAAAATGTTTAGTTAATTATTAAAGGTAAAGTTACCTGAGGTGTTCCTCAACACGTAGTTAATGCTAATTAAATTCTCTACCTGCACTCATTAACGCGTTTAGTCTGATATTACCCAAATACCTGTATACCTGTCCGCTCATAGCGCTGGCATTACTTGTATAAATTAAGCTAGTAAGCAATGATGCACTTCATTCACGAGCCACAAGTTGCTGTGTTAAATAACTCAAATCATTCGCCAGACTATTAAAAACGAAAGCCTATTTACCGCGAAAAGAATGGATGCCTGGTCAAACTTTACTTGTGAACCGTTTGATTTTCTACGACAAACGCTGGAAGTAGATTTGCGAAGCCTAAGAGAAGCGTTAAAGAGATTAGCCGTCAACGCAACAGCATTGGAAAATTTAAGCAACAGTACAACAAGCCACAATACTTTCTATACCGACTACCCAAACGAGTCTGACAACGAGCTAACAGCGCCGCCAGCACCAAGAGTCCAGAAATGGGAATGGATTCGGGCTCAGCATGAACTACAGTTGTATTCAGCGCCACCAAGTCAAAGCGATTGCAGAACTAAAAACGACGAGAAAACCATGGAATGTACGCCACTGGAAGATTATTTCAAGCGTTTTCGGCAAAAGGCCCGATTGCCTAAAGTTGGACTAGTACGCCCAATGGTGAAGGGTCAACCAATAACTGGGTCAATAGAGAACTTAACTGTGCCATCAGCCTTGAAACTGGGGTACTTCCAGAAAAGTGACAGCAAAGCGATATCTAAGCCGAGAAGTGCAGAAAATATAACAAAACCGGTTGCTGTTGTATGCCCTAACAAATCAAAGGAGCCTAGAGTTGGTTGTCAAACTTCATTGAATTTTTTACTTGCCGAAAGCAGTACGCCGATTGATTCATATTTAACCCGCCCTGCATTAAGAAACCTGCTACTGCATGCACGTTTACAAGACATACAAAACTAATAGAAGGTTGGCAAGAAAAACTTTAGTGAAAGAATGTTAAAATGAGAAGACTAGAATTTAGTGTCTTATTTAAGATTAAAATTCATTTAATCTATAATAGTATTGTATTAAAACAAAATGAGTGTACATATTAAATTTAAATAAATGATTTTGTAAGAAAGGATATTTAATTCTTTTGAAACTCAATGAACTTCCATAGCATGGGTTAGGAACTGTGTTGCCAGTCTAGTTTTTTTCTTTGTCGCTTAGCTTCGAAATTTAGGATTTCGTTTCGTGGCTTTTTTCTAGCCTTTTCTTATTTGATGGTACAAATGTACCACTACTTTGTCTCTAAGGACTATTGGTTTTCAGAGCTTAAAATAGACTCCCCTTTATTATTAAAATCGTTTTATTAAACGGTATGGTGTTCAAAATGACCTTTTTTTAACCTTTCCTTGCGCCATTTAGCTTTTTTATTTGGCCGATCTACCTTTTTTATTTTGAAGTCCTGGCAACACTGGTTAGGAAAAAGAAAAAAATTAGATATTTGGTCAGAGAGATCATACCTTACTTTACGAACAGTTTTAAGGCTATGAGTTATGCTACAGCTGTCATTGTTAAAATCGAAATCTTAAATATTGCCCCGACTTTGTTTATCGAAAAAGATTTTCACGGTGTCATTTGAATTGCTTAAGTATAAGATTATAACAACCATGGTGGCCCGCCTTTAAAACGGTAGAGACGACTGTATGAGCTCTGAAAGCTTTACGTTTATTAGCATGATGTCCTGCATGCAGTAATGTCTGGAAAAATTGGTGGAATTACGCATTCGTAGGGAATCGCGTTTTTATTAATTATTTGCTTGTATCATATCCATTAGATGGAGAAATTATGCGAGCAGCTTGGGAATAACTGTAGATTCGGTGATGGTTAATTTAATTCGTTAAATGTTAGAGCAGAGGGCCATCTGTGTTACATGGAAGTCCGCAAGTATGTCGTGTGCAGCGGGCTATATTCCTTGCTCGGACCCTTGTCTGGCTCTGGCGTCTACGGTCAGATGATTTGATCAGTATCATCACAGGTCTTTCCCTCTCAATTGTTGACAAGATTTAATATGATGGCTGACGGCGAACTCAACCAAAACTGGCATTGGGATCTTCACTGGAAGATGCAAGTTGAACGTAAAGGATCCGTTATTCAGATATGTAGCTTCCGAAGAAAAGTATTTAGGAGTAATCGTGGACAGTAGCCTTCTTTGGAAGTGTTATATTTAGAAAAAAACTCCTAAGTTTAAACAGGGTAAGGTAAAATGTGAGGTACCTCCGGGTTTCCGCTTATACAAGTAACATCCATCATCAGGTATGCGTTTGTAGTATTGTAAAGCAGAGTCCTAGAGTAGAACTTCATCTGCTTGTGAACCCTCAATGACTTGTACCGCTGTGCCATTTACGAAAGCTTTCTCTAGAATACTTGACATTACGTTGATTTGAATGCACTGCCTAATATACATACAAATCGTCGTTTAAAGTACAAAACCGCTTATCAAGATAAGGAAAAAAACGGGTATGAGAGGTGGCAAAAATTATTTTCTAGAGA